CGGTCCTGGCGCATTTCAATGAGGCGCTCCCGGTGGTGCTGGCATGTGACACTTCCCCTTACGGGGTGGGAGCGGTCCTGGGCCACCGGCTGCCGGACGGCCACGAGGTCCCGGTTGCGTACTATTCCAGGACGCTATCAGCGGCTGAGCGCAATTACACGCAGACAGATAAGGAGGCGCTGGCAATTGTGGCGGGGGTGAAAAAAATTCACCACTATCTGTACGGGCGCCCCTTCACGGTCCTCATAGACCACAAGCCGCTGCTGAGCCTCCTGGCCCCCGACCACCAGACCCCACAGATGATTTCGCCCCGGGTGCTCCGCTGGTCTATTTTCCTGGCGGGGTACTCCTACGCTCTCGCCCAATGCCCTGGCAAGGCGATGGGCCATGCGGATGCCCTGAGCCTCCTGCCGCTGCAGGTCTGTGACCTGGATCCTGCTCCCGCCCACCAGATCGCTCTCCTGGTGTCCCTTCCGGATCGGCCAGTCCACGTCACGGAGGTGGCTCGCAGCACCTCCAAAGACAAGGTATTTTGCCGGGTCTTGGACTGGGTGGTGAGGGGGTGGCCCGCGGCGAAAGGAGACCCTGACATAACGCCCTTTGCTTCTCGGAAGGACAAGCTGTCCGTCCACAGGGGCTGTGTCATGTGGGGAAGTAGGGTGGTCATTCCAAAGCCCCTACGGGAGCGGGTCCTCACCGCCCTTCACGAAGCGCACCCCAGGGTGGTGCGCATAAAAGCCTTGGCCTGGAGCTATGTCTGGTGGCCAGGGATGGACCGGGACATAGAGGACATGGTGAAGTGGTGCCAACCTTGCCAAGCGTCCCGGCCCGAGCCTCCCCGAGCCCCAGAACGGGCCTGGGAATCTTCCCACCGCCCCTGGTCCCGGTTACACTTGGACTTTGCAGGACCGTTCCAGGGGCAACTTTTCTTTATCCTGGTGGATTCCTTCAGCAAGTGGCTGGAGGTAGTTCCCGTGCCCTCCACCTCCTCGAAGGCGGCCATCCGGGCGATGTAGCGGATCTTCAGCGCCCAAGGAATCCCAGACACGCTGGTCACAGACAATGGGATGGCATTCACGTCCGTGGAGTTCCAGGAATTCACGAGTTACTATGGTACCCGCCTCGTCCGGGCGGCCCCGTTCCACCCCACCACCAACAGCCAGGCCGAGCGCATGGTCAGAACCACGAAGGACGCTCTCCGCCGCTTGGACTCCCTGGACTGGGACTATAAACTGGCGGCTTTCCTTTTCAGCCAGCGAACGACGCCCCACACCACTATGGGGCGCAGTCCGGCAAAGCTACTTCTAGGTCGCTGCCTGGCAACCCGGTTGGATTGCCTGCACCCCGACCGGGCCTCGGCAGAGGCACCAGGCACGGAAATGCACGAGGCAGCCAGGGGTTTCTTCCCGGAGGATCCCATGTACGCACGGAACTACACCTGGGGACCAGCCTGTGATGAAGGAATATAAATAAAATATCTGCATGAATATCCTCTCCCCAATATCCCTACCCACATGTGCACTGTGCCCAATTTGGATGACTGCTGTGTGCATGGAGGAAAAGGCCTTTCCCTTCCACAACGTTTTCCTGATATGAAACAGTCTCGGGTGTGCGTGTGTTATTTAGCCTCTTTGGGAAACCCAAAAGCAAGCATACACCATTGCAAGTTGGGAAAACAGCATAGGATTGTGAGGCTGAAGCTCTTTCTCCATATGCACCACTGTTGCGATCTGAATCAGGCATCGTACATGAAGGACATGCAGTACATGCAGGATGTACATGAGAACCCATTACTTGTGTATGTGAGACCATATGATTGTTACACAAGGTGCACACCTTGACCAAGCTTCTGTGCTCCCTAATGTGCAGAGTGGCCCATTGTTACTTCAGGGGTCAAGACTCTAAGTCAGACAGCTGTTTGTAGAGATGATGGGGATTGAACCTGGGACCTTCTGAAAGCCAAGCAAGCCTCCTTTATGGGAAGGGGGAAAGAGAATCATATATAGTTTACTTTTTGCCATATATATATCTGCAGCTCTGAGACTCCATAATACTTTAGGTTGATTGCCACCTGAGAAATTAATCTTCAAGTACACCAGGAGCTGTGGTGGCTCAAGTGGTTAAGACGCTGAACTGCAGGCTATAGAAGGTCGGTAGTTCAGCAGTTCGAGACCCGAGTGCCGCATGACGGAGTGAGCTCCCGTCTCTAGTTCCAGCTCCTGCCAACCTAGCAGTTTGAAAGCAAGAAATTGCAAGTAGATAAATAGGTACCACTTCGGTGGGAAGGTAACAGCGTTCCGTGCGCCTTGGTGTTTAGTCATGCCGGCCACATGACCACGGAAACGTCTTCGGACAGCGCCGGCTCTTCGGCTTCGAAACGGAGATGAGCACCGCAACCCTAGAGTCGGACTCGACTGGCTTTCGAGCAAGGGAACCTTTTTACACCATTTTTAACTCATTCAAGATTGTTTTAATCACTTTATTCTGCCATTGCTTTTGATACTTTTGTTTAAATCGGTCATTTAGGTTTGATACTTTTGTTTAAATTGGTGATTTAGATTCTATTGTACTTTATATTTTAAACTTTGTACATTTTGTTTTGTCCAAAAGCCTATGAGCTGCATAAGCAAATCTGTTAATAGAATTGTAATTTTACTTGATATGTGGTGGTAGTACAACAAAGTTGTTCAGGAATACTTAAGGTTCCAGGTATCTCAGTCACATTCCATCCTCAGGCCACTCCAGGGGGCCAGGTACCCCAGTCATTCATTCCGTCCTTGTCTCTGTGATGGCAGAAGGGGCACAGCAATCCCCACACATGCCCTACTCACTTTACTTGAGACCACTAATGCTGATGCTTCAACAAACCTGTCTTTGGTTTGCTTCCGCTACAACAGACTAGCTCCAAGATGGATTTTCTGGGAAGTATGCCCCTATGTGTAGGACTCATTTCAGAGTAAATAAAACATGCTTAGGGTGGTATTGTTAAAACTTTCAGTCATTATGGTACCATGATGCCTATTTAAACAAAAAAAATCTGCCTGTTACCAAACCACTTAGCTCCTTGCCCACTCACAACACATGCCAGGGGAGAGCACTTCCAAAACCAATGTCTCCACTTTTCCTTTTAAAAAAATCCAATGTGCTGTTAATCTCTCCTTATACATAACCTTCACAGCCTTTCGGGGGGAGCAGGCGAGGGGTGGCGGCACCGCGGGCCTGTTTCCGCCGCGCCACCCTCTCCACCTTCACAGCCTTTTGGGGGAGCAGGCGAGGGGCAGCGGCGCTGAGCCGATTGCCACGGGCCCGTTTCTGCCACTTCACCCCCCCACACACACACCTTTACAGCCTTTCGGGAGGAGAAGGCAAGGGGTGGCAGCACTGAGCCAGCCGCTGCGGCCCCGTTTCCGCCGCTCCACCCCCACACACACCTTCACAGCCTTCCGGGGGGAGCAGGCGAGGGGTGGTGGCAGCAGCGCTAAGCCAGCCGCTGCGGGCCCATTTCTGCCACTCCACCCACACACACACACACCTTCACAGCCTTTTGGGGGGAGCAGGCGAGGGGCGCCAGCGGAGCAGGCAAGGGGCCACCCGCCGTGGACACATTTTCGCCTCTACCCCCCCTTCTTCACTCTCTCTTCCTTTCTCCCTATCTCCCTTCATTCTTTCCCTCTCTCACTCTTTCTCCCTTCCTCCTCAACACTTTGACTTCTTCCCCCCCTTCATCCTCCCTCCCTCCATCTCTGCCTGTCTGTCTCCCCCCTCACCCTTCTTCCTTCCTTCAATCCTTCCTTCCTTCCTCTCTCTATGGCCAGCGGCCATAACTTTTTAAAGAGCACCTTAGGAGATCTGGGGGAGCTGGAATGACCTCTCGCGTCTGATGTCTGATGATCAGACGTGAGAGGCACCATTTGCCCCTAGGAATGGAAGGCCACCACCCCGGGGCTCAGGGAGGCGGGGGAACCTTTCACGCGCTCCCGCGGCCACCGCCGTTGCTGCCGTTGGCGGCCATAACTTTTTAAAGAGCGCCTTAGGAGAGCTGGGAGAGCCGGAATGACCTCTCACCTCTGATGTCCAAGCGGACATCAGCAAGGCCGCTTGGACATCAGAAGCGAGAGGCACCATCTGCCCCTAGGAGTGGAAGGTCACCACCCGGGGGCTCAGGGAGGCAGGGGAACCTTTCACGCCCCCCCCCCCCGCGGCTGCCACCATGGGGCCGTTTCCGCCGCTCCACCCTCCCCACCTTCACAGCCTTTCGGGGGAGTAGGCGAGGGGCGGCGGCAGCAAGATGCCCACCGTGGGCACGCTACCCCCCTTCTTCACTCTCTCTTCCTTTCTCCCTATCTCCCTTCATTCTTTCCATCTCTCACTCTTTCTCCCTTCCTCCCCAATGCTTTGACTTCTTCCCCCCCTTTCATCCTCCCTCCCTCCATCTCTGCCTGCCTGCCTGCCTGTGTGTCTGACTGTCTGTCTCCCCCCTCACCCTTCCTTCAATCCTTTCTTCCTTCCATCCTTCCTCCCTCTCTCTCCCAACCCCTCTATCTATCTTTCTGCCATCCACCCTACCTTTCTAGGACCCGTTGTCTTCATCCACAATGAGCTTTGCTCCTTAGTCAAATAAGAAATTGAATTTGGAAAGAGTTAACCACAATGTAAATTACAATAACGGACAATTAAAGCAACAACAATAACAAAAACCTTCATAAAGGGTGTTGCTTACCCAGGTGCTACTTCAAACAATGTCCCTATGTTATCCATACCAAAAGAATAAGAATACATTGCAATTTATATGCATATAATTTCCCTCTTTATGGGAATTTCTTCCCCAACAGCACGTCATTCTCACGTTACAAACGAGGCGCAGAAAATACCGGGGGAGGGGGGAGACAATTTTTCCCGACAGGCATTGTGCACGCCCGCAGATCACCGGGAGCCCCACTCGCGTCTCAGAACAAAGTTCGCTATTGGTTGGCGGGAGAATGGAGGCGGGCTCATAGGAATAGTCTCGCATTTCCCATTGGCTAGAGCCAAACGAGCCGTGGGTGGAGCTTAGCCTAGGCAGGGGCGAGGGAAATGGAGCCGGCCGCAGCGCTGCTCGGGCTTCTGCTCCTGGTGCCGGCGCTTGCGGAGAGAGCGACCGCGCCTGTCCGCGATTCCTTGAGAGAAGAGTTATTGCTTAGCCCCCTCCCTTCCGGTGACCTGGCCGCTACTTTTCAGTTCCGGACGCGCTGGGACTCAGACTTGCAGCGGGAGGGCGGTAAGGGGCGTGGCCACTGGGGAAGGGCGGGACTTGGTGGGTGGAGGCTGGTTGTCATGTAGGATGCGGGTCGGAGGATTTGGTTGATACAAGTTACTATGCTTGAAGATTACATTTTAGGTGGCGAAACCAAATAGGGGTCTCATGGTACCGTAAACACTAGACCGAGGATGCAGTCTTGTGCATACTTGTAAGCAAAATTAAGCAGGAGTGATGGTGAAAGTACGCTGTGACTCACAGATTCAGGTGGGCAGTCTTGTTAGACTGAAGCAACAGAACAAAATTTGAGTCTACTGGCACCTTTAAGACCAACAAAGTTTAATTTTGGGTATCAGCTTTCTTGTGCGTGCACATTGTATCTGAAGAAATGTGCACACACAGAGAAGCTTATACACAGAGTTAAACTTTGTTGGTCTTAAAGGTGCCACTGGACTCAAACTTTGTTCTGTACAAGAAGCTTGTGCTGGAATACATTTAGTATTCAGTGCTAGTATGTTCCTGTGTAGTTTTGCTGTAGCAAACGAAAGACAGTTATCTGTCTGGAATTATTATTTAGGAATAGACTGTATTGCATTCAGTGGGTTCTGAATAAATGTCCTTAGAATTGCCCTGTATGGTGCTGCTATGCTCCTTGCTGTTTTTACTGCTACAGTCTAATGCCCCAATCCTATGAGGGTAGATCTTTAAATAGAGTGGGACATTCCTAAGAAATATGTGTGGATGGGGAAGTAATGCAACTACCCTCTTGAGTTCCAGTGGAGCTTAGTCCCAGACAGAAATGTAGGATTGTTGTCTTACAGTAAGTTCACATGTATCCTATCCAAGTGGAAGGAATTTAGGTGCATGCTATGCATGGATTCTGGGTGAGTGGAGGCAGAAACTGTTTTAGTAGGGATGTCTGGCCAGCTTCCTAGCCAATATGCCAGCATCAGGCCCCATCCGTAGGGCTTTGCAAGACTATGCTTCAAAACACGACTCATGTTACAGCCCTGTGCCCTCTTAAGGGCAAATCCCATCGAACACTGTGAGATTTACTCCTGTATAAATATGCATAGGGTGCAACTAATGTTAGTGCAGCGCTTACTAGGATGGAGCAAAGATGTCCCCCACCCTGCACTCAGATTGCAAGAATGCCAGAAAGTGCACAAGGCAGGCACCTTGCTGTTCCTGTGAGCAACTCTCTAATACATGTTTGCTCGTTTATTTGCATCATTTATACCTTGTGTTTCCCAGAGTAGGGACCCAAAGTGATTTACAACATTCTTCCTTTCTCCATTTTATTCTCCCAACAACCCTGTGAGGTAGGCTAGGCTGAGAGTGTATCAGGCCCATGGCCAGGATTTTGTAGCTTGTGGGGCAATTTTTTTTCTTCTGGGGCTGAATTTCTCAGTGCAGAAAGAAAAGCCATTTAGCCAATAGAAAGCTGTTACCAGGATAGATCTTTAAACTGCAGGCTGTCAGCCACTTTAGATTACAGTTCTCAGTTGCTGCAAGTTAATCACTTCTGCCAGCCTAAGCAACAGTTCTGATAATAAGCTGGCAGGTGGGGGTAATGACTTGTATAGTCAAGAAAGCTAACACTTAGGCAGAAAAACTCTCTTAAAGGAGACCAGTTTCTTGACACAGAGTTAGAAGGGATCCTAGAGGTCACCTACTCCAACCCCCTTGCTCAGTGCGGGAATTAGTCATCTACAGCACCCCACTCTGCTTAAAGGAGCGCATGCCTTTAAAAATGTTTTTAAATGATTGAAAAAAACATTTACAGGAGAAATTCTTGTGGGGCTGTGCCTTTAAGAAAGGGGGCAGAGCCCCAAAAGCCCCACCATAGCTGTGGGCCTGCATGTGACTGACCGACCCAAGGGAACTCAATATGCGTCCATGGCAGAGTGGGGATCTAAACCTAGGTGTCTTAGGTCTTACACTCTTATGCTAACCATGACACCAAACTGCCTCTGCAAAACAGGTTTTTGACACAGCAGAATCCTTTTGCATACATCTCCATGAATGTCTGCTGCGCTGTCTTGGGAATGGGATTTGTATATATTGGCAGTGGGAGGGTTCATGGAGTGCTGGCCTGGAATGGGAAATGAAGCTATGTCTTAAGGATAACCTATCTGCAGACAGCTGTTATACAAGCAAGACTCACTGAGGCAGGAAGTGAGTAAGCAAATAGAATATGGAACCAGCACCGAGCAGCCATGTGCAGAGTAAAGGAGAGGCTGGTGCCCAGGTAGGCTGAGAGATAGGAAAACAACTGACTTATATAGGCACTAGCAGTAAAGCCCATTGTGAAAGCAATACAACGGGATCTAGAAAGAGGCTCTGGGGCAGTGCTCTGGCTTTGGGCAAACAGTGTCAATTTGCTGTGGTGACCTCAGCAGGGTATAATGACAGAGTCCACTGTTTTCTCCAGAGGAACTGATCTCTGCTACCTGAAGAGCAGTTGTAATTGTGAGTAATCTGTAGCCCGAAGTGCACTGACTTTAAGCTGGATCCTAGGATTGGGCTGCAGTATGGCGTTGAAAGGGAAGGGAGCCTTTTCTTCTAGATTTACCTTAATGCTTTTGTTTTCTCTCCACGTTTCCCAGTCTCTCACTACAGGCTATTCCCTAAAGCTCTGGGACAGCTCATCTCTAAGTACTCGGTACGCGAGTTGCATCTCTCCCTCACTCAGGGCTTCTGGCGAACACGAAGTTGGGGGCAGCCATACCTACAAGCTCCTGCTGGAGCCGAACTCTGGGTCTGGTTTCAGGACTCTGTTGCTGAGTAAGTGCCGGAGATGATGCTTTGTAGTTGGTTGATTAGTCCCCTCACAAAAAATTAAGGGGAAGCATATGAGGGTTCTTAACATTTCTTTTTGAAAATGCATGTGAAGTAACCCTTGTGAATAATCTTGTGAATGTCATTACGAATGGACGCACTTCTATATAAACTATCTATTACATACTTAGAATATTTCAGTGGGTTATGTTGCATTCTTTACATCAGATCTTAAGACTGTAGGCGTCGGATTTGTGCCCTGAACTTTCAGGGTACCGCAGAAATGCTGCGTTATTCCTAAAATAACAGTTTGTTCCAGAGTAAGGAGTTAATTTATTTTATGCACTATGGCTAATTTGTCCATCTTCCTTGATTTTATTACATACATATGTAGCAAGGTTCATAAAGCGTTCTATGTTCATTAAAAGGCTTGAAAACTATCCAGCTAATTTGCACAGACAAGGTGGCATTCGAAAGACCGTGTCATGAAAGCAGAATTGATACTGCTTTCATTTTTAGACATGGCTTCATCTTAAAGCTGCAGTTCTAATAATGTCTCTGGTCCTGTTCTTTATTTAGCTGCATGATCCAAGGATGACTGGAAATACAACTTTACACAGAGAGTGATTAAAATGTGGAATTTGCTGCCAAAGGATGTAGTGATGGCCACAGGAATGAACAGCCTTAAAAGAGGATTAGATAGATTCATGGAGGATAATGACTGCTAGCCATGGTGATGAGGGGGATCTCCACATTCAGAGGCACTAAGCCTCTGGATCCCAGAGCCTGGAGGCAACATCAGGGGAAGGCCTCGGCCTCTATGCCCTGTTGTTGGCCATCCAGAGGAACTGGTTGGTCACTGTGTGAGACAGGATGCTGGACTAGATGGACCATTGGTCTGAGCCAGCAGGACTCTTCTTATGTTCTCATGATTTCAGAACACCTAAATCAACAGTGGCTTTTGAAAAGCCCATGGCATCTCTACCACTCAGAGACCTACTGTGACCTCAGAGAACACCAGCTGTTGGATGTGATTGTACAAATTCTTGCTTATTAGTAATGTGAACTTTTATCACTGCCGTGGTATTATAAAATATAGACACTGGAATGAAGGGCATGCTTTCCAGTACATACTTATTTTCAAGTGTCTGTGTATATTATAGACTTTCCACCAACAAAATGGTATTTAAAAGGAATGTTCGACCACAAAGCCTATTTAAAATCTGACAATGCACTTTAAAAAGAGTAGAACAATTTTAGAATCCAGTGGCACCTTTAAGACCAACAAAGGTTTATTCAAGGTATGAGCTTTAGTGCGCATGCACACTTTTTCAAATAAATTGGAATGAATTTTCGGATGCATTGGAAAAGTGTTGCATGCACATGAAAGCTCATACCTTGAATAAACCTTTGTTGGTCTTAAAGGTGCCACTGGACTCTGAATTTGTTCTACTGCTTCAGACCAACATGGTTGACCACCTGGAACTTTAAAAACAGTGTTTGTTTAAAAAAATCAGTTTAGGGTACGTCTTTCACAGATCCAGGTATTCAATAATTACATTTCTTTTCCCTTCATCCAGTGTCAACAAGGCTTGGAAAGATCTCAGTAACATCCTCTCGGGGATATTCTGTGCCTCTCTGAATTTCATTGATTCCACTAACACAGTTATTCCAACAGCATCCTTCAAACCTCTGGGACTGGCTAATGGTGAGTGGGTGTGCGCATGCATGCTGGGCTGGCTTGGAGGGGCCTGTTTCACACTAAAAGAGTAGCACTTAATTGTGTTGGAGCTCCTTCCTTATGTGATCCTCTGCTAGCAAGTAGACTTGGAGGATGATGAGAGCGCGTGACTTGCAGGTGGTGCTTCACAAAGGAGGAGGGTTGGCATCTGTGGAGTTATACTTGGGGTTGATGAATCCGCGGTGGCTCAGATGTTAAGACGCTGAAGCTGCAGACCGGAAGGTCTGTATCTCGGCAGTTTGAGACCCAAGTGCCACATGACGGAGTGAGCTCCCATCTTTGGCCCCAGCTCCTGCCAAACTAGCAGTTCGAAAGCAAGAAATTGCAGGTAGATAAATAGGTACTCGGTGGGAAGGTAACAGTGTTCCGTGTACCTCGGCATCTAGTCATGCCAGCCACATGACCACAGAGATGTCTTCGGACAGCGCTGGCTCTTCGGCTTGGAAACAGAGATGAGCACCAGCCCCATAGAGTCAGATTCAACTAGCTTTCGAGCAAGGGAAACCTTTACTAGTTGGGGTTGATTGTTTTTAGAGATCCTTCTTGGGAATGTGATAAAGATTATTTGGGCTGGCTGTAGGGGAGAAATGATAATTTAGGCTGGTGGAAGTTTTTACCTTTTACAGCTTATGCGCTTATTGATTGTGGTTTTTATGACAAACTACTTTGTAAATCTTTGTGTGTATTCCAGTACAGTCTTAAGCAGAGTTACAGTTTAATTAAATGGGCTTGGAAGGATGTAACTCGACTTAGGATGGTATGGCTAGCCATCTAAGACCTCCGTCTACCTATCATGTTTTTAAAAGTTTGCCTGCTCCATTTTATTCACCCCTTCCTCCAGGGAGCTCAGGGTGGCATACATTGTCTTCCCTTCCCCATTTTATCCTCACGGCAACCCAGGGAAGTAGGTTAGACTGAAAGATAAATTGTGAGGATTAGATGGGGAAGGATGGACAGTGCATACCCTGTAGGAAAGCAGTGCAGAATAAATCACTATTCTCCTGCCTGGAGATTGGAAACCCAAAGGTATTTGTGTGCTAACAGCATGAGAAGTCTGGTGATTGCCTCCACAGTCGGTATAACCTTGAGAGAGTGGGAGTGGCAGAGATAACAGAGAGCCTGTACACACACACACATTCCAAAAGGATGCTCGAATGCTTGAAACTTTCCTCTACGCAGGGAGAAGGAGTGTGAGAGGAAGGGGGGAGGAAATGGGGGGAAACTGAGCTTATAAATAAATACTGGGAAGCCGAGAGGTTTCAGATCAGCTTCCTGCAGACTTGTGTCCTGTCGTCTTTGCATCGCATGCACCCCTGCACCCCACACCCCAAAGAGTGACACCACAATACCCCAAGGGCCAAACCACACATTATGACTTTTGGTGTGTTCTCTCTTGGTTCCCTGGCTTGGCTCTGAATCAGTCACATGTCAGCTGTGAGGAACTAATCTTCCAAGTGCACAGGACCCTGGTTCAGATTGGGGCCATGGTTTTGCATGTACTTTTGTACTTTTCCCCCAACCTGAAAACAGCCCAGAGGGGCACTGTTTTCCCCATAAGGAGACTGCAAAAGTGTCCTGATGGGTAACCGGAATTCTCAGTACATGTCTGCTCAGCAGTACCCTGTGGTGCCACTGGCCGAATGTTTCATGAGTTAGGCCCCAAGAGAGCAGGGATTTGTACCTAGGTCTCCTGAAACACTGTTCACATGTTACAGTGAATGCTGCATGTTTATAAAAAAACAGACCACATGCATTCACTTTGACAAAGAAAACCGGGCCCCAGTACCTAGATAAACACGGGGTTTCAATCACACATTAAGAAGTACAGGTATTGAATACAGCATGAGAATTACTCAGTGCACATACAGAGAAATACTAAGTGTACACTGTACATGGGTTGTACATGAGTTCACTGGAACTTCTGAACAGGGCCTGAATTGTCCAAGCTTGATGCTTTAATTGCACCTCAGGTCCAGTAGCACCTTAAAGTCTAACAGAATTTGTGGCAGAGGATGAACTTTCATGAGTCACTGCTCACTTCTTCAGATACCTCAGTACTGATCCGGTTAAAAATTCAAATACATGCATTATGTTGCACTGTCATTATGAGGATAATACTTGGCACTCATTTAGCCCTTTATGGAGTGCTGGAAGCACTTCAGATACATTATCTCAGTAATCCTTACAAAGGCCGGCCTTGTATTTTCCCTATATTGCTGATGGGAGGCTAAGCGCAAGTGGCTTGTGGAATTGGGGGGAATTGTTTTCAGGCCGTCCAGAGAATTTTTCATCACTCTTTTTGATGAATATGCCTCTGAGCCATTATGGTTGCAGAGATTAACTTTAAAAAGGTAAAATAGCGGTTGGTTAGAGCCTTGAGATCTAGAGAATGCTTTAAGGAGCTTCTAGTAGCTGAGAGAAGGAACTCTGCACTCTTCACCGCTCCCTGCCCCTCTGTGCCTCATCCTTTTCTCCCCTACTAGCCCCACTTCTCATTCCCTTCTGCTAGGATACGTTTGCCTTGATTAAGCAATAGGCTTATAGATACGTTTGCCTTGATTAAGCAATAGGCTTATAGATTTTTTTTATTATTATGGCTAGAGATGTGAAGGCCCGGAAAAAAACCGGAAAAATTCGGAAAAAAACCCGGGTTTTTTCCATTTTTTTTCCCTGAAGATTTTTTGTTTTTTCCCGAAAAATTGGAAATATTGAAAAAAGAAAAGAAAAAATGATTATGGAACGTTTTATTTTAACATGATGAATAAAATATTTTAAGACAAGGTGTTCAAATATTTTCCAAAACCAAAAAAGGTTAGTGGAAAGGAGGGCCAATATTAAAACCTTTTCATAAAAAGAGGTACATGTATTTATTAATAATAACAAATTAAAACATATATAGGGGCCCAATTACAACCAATATATATAAAACATAACCATAACCAGGGCTAAAAAAGTTTTATATATATTGGTTGTAATTGGGCCCCTATATATGTTTTATATACCTCTTTTTATGAAAAGGTTTTAATATTGGCCCTCCTTTCCACTAACCTTTGTTTGGTTTTGGAGTTCTTTGTTAGGTTTAGTTTTTTTCCCTTTCTTGTTCCTGCTTCCAAATATTTTCCAAATCATTTCTAAAATATATATATATGGTATCAGATTGATCTAATTTCTGTGCACTGAGGACAAGCCAGTCCTAGGTTACAAACTGAACTCTCCAATGCAAGATGCATTTCTTCCTTTAGGAGGTGCTATTGTCAGAAGAAAATAAAAAGGTTTCAGTTTTGTTTTTGCATGTGGGTGGGTATTCTGTTTGTAATAATTGTTTGGATACACTATATTTTTAATATGCTAGTTGTGATAATTTCATGCCAAATAAAAATGTCCATAGTCATATTTTATGTTCCTAAAGTAACAGAATGACTTTCAATCTAGAAAAGACAAAAGAAATGCTAATGTAGCATTTTTTTCAATTTTTCCGAAAATTTCCGTTTTTCCCCGGAAAAAAACGGGTTTTTTTCCGAGCTTCAAAATTTCCGGAAATTTTACATCTCTAATTATGGCAGATGTTGATCAAAGGCTGATTTTTGGCCTTCTTGTGTATTTGGTTGGGTAGGGCTGCTAGTCTAGGACCTTTGGTCTAATCCACCTGGGCTGCTACAAATACTGGGCAACACTGGACTATATTTGGTGCTCTGACACCCTTCCTTTTATGTCAGTGAATGAAGGGAGCTGCTCATGACTTTTCTACAAGCTTGGCAAATTCCACTTTCATTCAAGGAGTGATTAGCATAATGCACACTGGAGTGCTTCCACGCACACATCTGTTTGGCTGAGGGTTTCTGACCCCTCTGCTCCCTGTTTCAGTTACGGATCATCATTTCCTACGATATGCTGTCCTGCCTCGTGAAGTTGTCTGCACTGAGAATCTCACACCCTGGAAGAAGCTATTGCCCTGCAGTTCAAAGGTAAACTTGGAGCCTGTAACACTAGAGCAAGTGGAGACTGTAACATTGTAGGTTTTTCTCCTTGGGCCTCCACCACCGCATGCGATCACCCTGGATTCCCTTGGGATGGGTCCGTTGCTCAGTGGCAGAGCATCTGTTTTGCATGCAGAAGGGCACAAGTTTGATCCCAGGCATCTCCACCTAAAAGAAGCGGGTAGTAGGTCACGTGGAAGACCTCTCCCTGAGACCTTGGAGAGCTGCTGCCAGTCAGAGTGGGCAATACCAGCTTTGATCTGGCTCAGTAAGAGGCAATTTCATGTGATCAGATGTTTTGGGACATTTGGTACTAGTGTGTGGATGTTCTAATTCTCCCCAGTTAGTACAGGTAGTGCAAGGGGGAGGGGCGACTTATAACTCTTTCCTCGTATTTCTCAACATGTTCACGGTTGGGGGAATTCGTTGAGGTAGATCTTCAGCCATATTGACTTCTCTCTCTCTCCTCTCTCCCCACCCCAGGCTGGCCTGGCTGTGTTGCTGAAGGCTGAGCGCCTCTTCCACAGCAGCTATCATTCCCAAGCGGTGCACATCCGCCCCATTTGCAGGGTGAGTCTGACTTTGTGTGTCTTCATAGGTCAGAATAAATCAGAATAAGTGTGATCTGAGTAGTACCGTCAAGTCATCGCTGGCTTATGGCGACCCCTGTAGGGTTTCCAAGGCAAGAGGTGTTCAGAGGTGGTTTGCCATTGCCTGTCTCCTTGTCACGACCCTGGTATTTCTTGGTGATCTCTGTCTCCCATCTAAATACTAGCCAGGGCCAACCCTGCTTAGTTTCCAAGAACTGATGAGATCGGGGTAGCCTGGGCTATCCAGATCAGGGCTGCATCTGAATAGCTGACTGTGTTCTGTCCTTGCTTTGGTGCTGGCTAAAAGAATGAGATGGCTCGTAGTGTTCTAGTTATTCCTAGCAATCTTGAGGAGTGCAGTGCAAGGGGGGCGGAGACAAAGCCCTGTGCTCATTTCAGAGTTGTGCAAGACTGTAGGCACGTTTCCCCTTTGAGCACCCAAAAGGCTATGCTGGGAATCATAAAACATGCATGGACAAAAAGCCACAAGGGACAGGAACTGTAACAAGGAGAGGAATTGGGCATGATAGAGCAAAAAAGATAGTTGGATCCAACTCTGTGTCTATGTCCCTCACCTTATCGTCACTGACTTCAGGTGACCTCAGATATTTCTGATTCTGCTTTCCTTTCATTCTGGAATATTTTCATTAATGGATCTGTAGGGTAACAGAGAAAACTCTCTCTCTTTTCTTTTTTTTTAAAGATTAGGCCCTTTATTGGGGTTACAAAAATTGTAATTGCAGAACATTTTTTTTTAATTGAACTCTCCTAAAAAGGAGATAATTTTATTGCTTTTAATTTTCAGAAAAAGGAAGGGTATATAGCGGGATAAAGAATAGAGTGAGTGATGTTATTATTTGGCAAATTAATCAATTGTTAGTATATTTAACTTCTTTGTCTTCTTCTGCGGTTGACCGATCGTCCTTCCTCTTCACCTGTAAAAAATAAAATTGTTAGTTGTGTTAGTATTGTCCTTTTGGGTTATTGTTAATAATGTCTTTTAGTGCGCTTCACGAACAAATCTTCACTTTCTGGGGTGTCTTCCTTTTACATCTCTCAAATTATATGATGGGCCGTTCTCTCCCTTGTCTTCCGAGTCTTTGTCCTTAATTGCAGAACATTTGAAGTCTACCTATTGTTTCAGAATGGTTAAGAAAAATAGCTTTTGTAACTGAATTGTGTTCATACATCATTTGAATGGGAATCAGTGGTGGCTTGCTTACTAAGACAGGTTCCATTATTAAATATTAGAACAGTGTGTAAACATTGCGATTTAGAGGAACATCTGTTTTATATTTGTCAAGTTGGTGTTCTACTACAGCGATCCGTGTAATTTTCTAATCATTAATTTAGTGGTGGAGTTCATTACCGTGGAATTAGTGATAGCCACAAGGACCAATGGCTTTAAAAAGGGATTGGACTTATTTATGGAGGAGAGGTACATCCATGGCCATTAGCCATGGAGACTTACCTCCATATTCAGAGGCAGCAAACCTCTGGATACCAGTACCAGGAGGCAACCTCAAGTGAAAGCCGTGATTGCAATTTTCTGTTTGTTGGCCCTCCAGGTTGCCCACTGAGTGAAACATGAACTTGGTCTGATCCAGCAGGGCAGCTCATTATGCTTCTGTAATAATTTTTAAATAGTTGATTTTTCTCTTCCTTTTGGCCTTCTTCCTCAGGATGCTGCTTGCCTGAGCGCCTCATGGGAACTCAGACAGACCCTCACAGTTGTTTTCGACAGCTTTGCCTCCGGCCAAGGGAAGAAAGGTAACTCGGACCTGCCCTGCACAGAATTGCATCTCTTGTATGGTACCTCTCTTTTTTGTGTTGCTGACCTCTTGTGTCAATCTTCCACCCCAGACTGGAGCCTTCTCAAGATTTTCTCTCGCACTCTAACTGAAGCATGTCCCCTGGCATCTCAAAGCAAGATCTATGTTGACATTTCAAGCAAAGGCCAGGTAAACTTTTTCCATTCAATTGTTTTCTTATAGTGGTAGAACAGCGTGTTGTTAGAAAATAGCTAGACACAAATTCTGTGGGTTATCTAGTCCGTGGTATATCCTTATCTTGAAATGGCTTTGGTCTCAGCTCTGTGTGGCTGAAGGACCATCAGTGGAAGGTACAAAAGTAACTTAGCTAAATGTATGTTTTTGGTGGCCTGATCTGGATTGCCCAAGCTAGCCCGATCTTATCAGACCTTAGAAGCAGGGTCAGCCCTGGTTAGTACTTGGATGGGAGATCACCAAGGAAGTCCAGGGTTCCTACGCAGGTGCTGGCAATGGCAAACCACCTGTGTTTGTCTCTTGCCTTAAAAACCCAACGAGGTCACCATAAGTTGACGGAAATTGACAGCCCTTTCAGCTTCCAAGGTGGGTGGGAAAGATACTGAACAATACGTGAATGATGCCCAGCTCCATTTCTCCCTAACAGCTGAGTCAGGTGAGACTGTAGACATCTCAGCAAATGCCTGAGAGGGTATCGGGATCAATGAATGCCAGTAAACTGAAGTGCAGTCCAAACAACACTGATGCACTTTTTGCCCATGACAAAGTCACTCAAGAGTTGAGGAGTCACCCTGCTCTGGACAGTGTAGCTGGACCTTGCTCTGGTCTCATCCATGGCATGTAATGCCATTCCCCCCCCCCCAATTTCAACCGAGATACCACCTGTAGCTGTCTTTGAAAAGCGTGACCTGTCTGCAGTGTTCCATGCGCTAATCACATCCCAGTTTCATTGCTACAATATGGTTTGTGTGGGGCTGCCTTTGAGAACTGTTTGGAAACATTAGTTGGTCCAAAATGCAGTTGTTATTGGGAACCGAATATAGGGATTGTACTACCCCCTGTGCTGAAGAATCTGGGCTGGCTGCCTAGTTGCTTTCAGGCACAATTCTTCCCTTGAAGGCCCTAAATGGCCTGGGGTCAGGGTAACTGAAGGACTGCCACCTCCTTCACTATCCAGCTGACTAGTTAAGATCCTCTTCCTAAGCCCTGCTCTCCACACCCCTCCCTGAAGAGGTGAGGTGGGGTGGCAACAACTGTGGTGGCCTTCAGAATGTCCTCTTCTTTGGAGCTCACCCGCATTTATGTTACTGCCCTTTAAGTTCCAGGCCAAAATATTTCTGTTCACCCAGGCTTTCAACTGAAGGGTTCCATTTTTATGGCTTGTTGCATTTATTGCATTGTTTGAGCCACCCTAAGTAGGTCACTAGTCAGCAGTGTTCCCTCTAAACTGAGTTAGTGTGAGCTGTTGCTGTTGTTCAGTCACACAGTTCAGCCCACCTCCTTGTGACCCCATGGACCACATCACGCCAGGCTCTTCTGTCCTCCGTCGTCCTCCAGAGTTTGCTCAACTTCATCCACACCCCTCCTTGCAGAGGTGAGGTGGGGTGGCAACAACAGTGGTGGCCTTCAGAATGTCCTCCTCTTTGGAGCTCACCCGCATTTATGTTACTGCCCTTTAAGTTCCAGGCCAAAATATTTCTGTTCACCCAGGCTTTCAACTGAAGGGTTCCATTTTTATGGCTTGTTGCATTTATTGCATTGTTTGAGCCACCCTAAGTAGGTCACTAGTCAGCAGTGTTCCCTCTAAACTGAGTTAGTGTGAGCTGTTGCTGTTGTTCAGTCACACAGTTGAGTCCAGCTCTTCGCGACCCCATGGACCACACCACACCAGGCCCTCCTGTCTTCTGTCATGCTCCGGAGTTTACGACCTCCTGGACCCAGGACTCTTTAATGCATCTCGCAGCCTCAACGTGCTGCTGAAATGGAAGCGGCCACAAGACAGCTGTGAGTAATCTGTGGCTTTCCTCCCTTTAATGTGGACATCCTCTTTTGTCCCTTGCCAACGGGTACCATTGGCATAGTACTTAACTGCTTTTTTCCCTCTGGGAGTTGTCCCTGAAAGTATCCTTCCAGAGCTCATATTATCCCCATGGTGGTTCATTCAGTGTGTTAAATCTGGTCTGATTACCAGTAAAAGACCAAGGATCTCAGGGGAAACTTTAACTGCTTTTTTTTCCTGTGGGAGCTATCCCTGAAAGTATCCTTCCTGTTCAGAGCTCATATTATCCCCATGGTGGTTCATTCAGTGTGTTAAATCTGGTCTGATTACCAGTAAAAGACCAAGGATCTCAGGGGAAACTGCTCGCTTGAAACTGGCAACATAGTTCAGGGATTCAGAGTTGCTACTGCGGTCCTCCCAAATGGAAGGAGCTGGCTGGCAAGTTCATATTGGCAAATGGTGCTGTGAATATTTATTGGCAGCTCAGAATAGAGAAAGGGAGAATCCAGTACAGTTGGGAAGGTTGAAGGACCTTACTTTTCCTGTAGAGTAGGAGCTGGAGCTTCACCCTGCATTGTAATAGAGAGGTTTTATTGGCTCCCACACAGTAGTTCTGTGTCATGTGCTCTAACGGATGGGAAGCAATAGTCCTAACTCCTGTGTTTCCTTCCTCCAGTGGCTATGGTGGCACCTGTGCTCCACGCTCAACGCTACGTGAGCGGCTACGGCCTTCAGACTGGAGAGATCAGCACTGTTGTCTATAACACACACCCATACCGGGCTTTCCCTGTGCTGTTGCTGGAGACGGTGCCCTGGTACCTGCGACTCTACATTCATACGCTGACCATTATCACAAAAGGAAAGGAAAACAAACCAAGTAAGGACAAGCCCCTTGCCACCCAAAGTGCAAAATATCAATGAACATTTACAGTGGCCGTGCATTTCCCCCCCTCTTTAATACAGGTTATCATTAATGATCCTGAATGCAAGGCAATAGAATGGTGGAAGGTTTTGTACAATGTGTGTGCCCAGAACTAACACATAACTATGCTGTAAACGCAACCTAGTGTATATGGTCCTATCATCAGAGCCTGTGCACATACAATTTGTGCATGTGTGAGCTTTGTTCTGATCCGGAGCTAAACGTGATCATGCTATTCCCCCCCCCCCATGCAAATTGTCTGTCCACATTGCTTCCCCCTTTATGCAATTTGTCTGTGCACATTGTATGGTCAGGCCTCATTTCTGGGTTTTGCTTGCTGTGACATTTCTAGTGATGGCATTCCCTGTTAGTTTCACAAGAAGGAGTTAAGCTTCCTTCTCCAGGATGAGAATTGTATTTGCTGTTGTGAAGTTCTTGTGGTTATGCTTTGTTGATTAGCTTGATTAGCTTTGTTGATTAGTAAAAACTCCACCTTTCCTCCCATCAAGTGGAGGCCCAAGGCAGCTTAGAAACGCAGGTGTGAACATACAGTACCAACACCACATTGTGTGCATTAGCAATTCCCTCAGATTTGGTATAGGGAGATGGCACATCGGGACTTCTGTAAGAAGGAAGGCAAAAGCAGCACAGTGGATGCGAATTGGGAGTTATGCAGAAGAGCTTAGCTTGCATCATCCAATATAATTGCTTTTGCTGTGGAATGAAGCTTTGCTAGACAGTGGCAAGGGGACGAAATATCAGATGTTATTTTCTTGGCAGAGAATCCAGATTTTTATTCAGATTATTTGAAATGTTGGTTCCCTTTTCTTGTGTATATGGAAAGAAATAATAAGCTTTAAAAGGCACTGCCTGATAATTTGATGGCTATATATTGGTGTTTGGTTTTATTGCTCTTGTGTTTTTTATGTTTGTAATTATGTTGTTATTGTTGTGGTTTCCTAATAATATGTGCTACTGTAAATTGTTATATTATATAAATAAAATTATTAAGGGGGGGGGGGAAGAAAGTGGCAAGAGGTGGTGCTAGACTTTATCTTTGGCAACGTGCTGCACCTGCTCCATTCTGTCTCGTAAACTCGGCCTCAGATGGTTCTAGCAGAAGATAGCTTGTAGATCCTAGTGTTTGATACTATGATGCTGCTCTAGGACTTGTGTGGGCAATTCCACATTCTGCTTGAATGCAGACTTTTGGAGTGGGGGAGCCTCAGTGATAACTAAAAGGATACGGTCTGCTGAGAAGTGCTATAAAGACGGATGTTAAGCCATTTTTAACGTACCAGTCCAGTCTTGTTCCATCCACACTGGCTCCCAGTTTGCTCCCAGGCCCACTTCAGGGTACTGGTATTGACCTTTAAAGCCCTGTACGGCTTGAGGCCAGCATACCTGAAAGGCTGCCTTTTCCTGTATGAACCTGCCCTTCTACTCCACTCATGCTTCAGGCGCCCCCTGCCATCTGCAGGTAGACAAACCAAGAAAGGGCCTTCTTGATCATGGCACCAAAATCTTGGAATTCGCTCCCCAGGAAGATCTGTCTGTCTCCCTTTGTCACTGTCTTCCACCAGCAGGGGAAGACATTTTTGTTTTGATATGGCATGCCCCCAATAACTGTTGTTGGCCTCCTCCCTGGTTGTGGTGTTGTGTGCTTATGTTCCCCCCCCCCCCGAATTATTGTATACATACTTTATTTTAAATGTTTTTAAATGCTGAGAATTGTTTTAATGTTTGATGTTCACCGTCTTGGTGGGCGGGTGGGGGGAGACCCTATTTGGGTGGAAAGGCAGCATGTAGAAATGTTTTGAATAAACATTTCTGGAGTTGCTGTAATGCTGATGTATTTACAGTCTTTCACATTAGAGCTTTGTTTTTCCTGAGCTGTCTTGATACAAGGCCAGTGAGTTCAAGGGGGCAGCCGCTTGAGACAGAGTTTGTTTTGGCAGTTGCCCCCCAATGATGGAACACACCGCTGGCAGAAGTCCGCTAGTACCTTTCTCTTTTTTAACTTTATGATGACACCTCAGCCATGCAACTTCACTGGGTGACCTTCAGCATACTCATGTCAACCTGAAGTCTCTCTCAGGGTTCTTGTGAAGATAAAATCGGGTGGCAATGGGGGGAGAGAACCAGGCCATTCCTGAGTTCTTTTAGGAGAAAAGCAGGGTAAAAACATATAGCTAGGTGAAATTTTTGAAAGCTTTGGGGATTGATTATGTCACCTTTAACTGCTGCCTTTGTTGTTCCTGCCTTCTTTGATTCCGATCGCTGTGTCTCAGATGCTTTTATAAATTGATTGTACTTATTAACAGCCGCTGGCTAGCTGATCCTGGATTTTGCATTGTGGTTTTTTTGGTTTTGCGTTTAAAACAAATAAAACTGGTGCCTTTCTGTAAGGAAGCACAAGATAGAAATGATGGCTGTCAACAAATGATTAGTTCCCTCAGCTTCCTCTCTCTGGAATTGCTTGCTATTATTTTCTATGTTAAGGAATATGGATTGAAGCAGAATGAGACTGACGTGCTCAGGGCTGCTTAGTGAAATACGAGACGAGGCCCAGCACTTGGGAGTGACATCCTAAGCAGAGCTGAAGTCAATGGATTTAGAAGGGTGTAACTCTGCATAGGATGGCTCCATTAGATAATCTTAAAACTTCTGTTTTGTGCATGTCTACTAAGTGTGTGGGGGGTCCATCCCATTTGATCCTGTCGCATTTAGTTCCACATGAGTATGCATACGGATTGCAGCTTTAACACCCCTGCTGATCGTTGTCTGTGCTCAGCCTTCTTTCATGAAAGTCTTAAAGAGGGACAGTGTCTTGAACAGGGACACTGGAGGCTGTTGGAGAACTGCACTGCGGTCCGTGTTCTTTCTCCTCTCCAAAGCTGCTGCAGAGGTGTCTGCGTCCATGTGTGTGTGTGTGTGTGTGTTTCATTGGGTTCCAAGAAAGGCTGTTATGCAGCCGTCAAGTAAGGATGTTGGCAAAGGATCGTATGATGATCGCATGTCTTTTTGGCGCTAGGTTATATCCACTATCAGCCCGCTCAAGACCGGCGGCGCCCTCATCTCCTGGAGATGCTGATTCAGCTGCCAGCAAACTCTGTCACAAAGATCACCATCCAGTTTGAGAGGGTCTTGCTGAAGTGGACAGAATACACTCCTGACCCCAACCACGGCTTTTACGTGAGGTAAGGCTGTAGCAAGTCTTGGATGAGTCAGCCTTGGTGTTTGTCTGCCTGGGCGTCAGCGTTCCTCCACCTATTTTCCTAACGGGGCTGAAATTTATGTAACTTCCCTGCTTTGCTTTTCTGCCTGCAGTCCATCTGTCCTGAGTGCTCTGGTGCCAAGCGTTACTGCCATGGAGGAGGAAGATGAAGAGCAGAGTCCGCTCTTTGCTTCACTGTGAGTGCATCATCGGGATGTCTGGTCCAGATGGGGAAAGGGGGGAGCGTATAGGACTTGTCCTGGTGTTAGCAATTGTTTTCCTGGAGCAAGGAGATTCTTTACGTAATTTATTATGAAATGGCTTCCTATGGGCAATGTTCCCTCTAAGCTGTGGAGTCTTGTGACCAAAAATTCTACTTTGTGAGCAACTGGTGTTAAAGTTGTGAGCGAGCCATTTGGCTACTGCATAAATTAGTTTGCTCTGGAGCCCTCCTTCCTGAGCTGAGACAAAAATGTGTGAGTTGGAGGCTAAAAAACTGTGAGCTAGCTCACACTAACTCAGCTTAGAGGGAACACTGCCTATGGGTAAGACCTGCTGGTAGATATACCTAGAATATAGCCCTTACAGAGATCTGACCCTATTTGCAGAGCTTGAAAGGAGATAATGTTGGCTGAACTGCTTATGGCTGTGTTACAGTGCAAGGCTTCTGAATGGTTCTTTGCCTGGCTGTCAATTCCTGAAACATTTCCGTTTGACTTATCAGTAGGTTTGCAGGGATGGGGAGGGGGTTTAATGCAACTGTGAGAGCTGGTGTAGCGTAGTGGTCAGAGTGTCGGACTAGGACCTGGGAGAACTGGGTCAACTTCCTGCTTTATCATGGAAGCTCGCTATGTGACCTTGGGTCAATTACACACACTCTCAGTCTAACCTACCTCACAGGGTTGTTGTGAGGATAAAACTGAGGGGAGAGAATGATGTTGGGGTCCTGTTTAGAAAATTCCTAATTTCCGGTCGTTAAAAGATCATGCACATGTTTTGTGCTCAGGCATGTCCATCTGCTCTCCAACAGACATGAATTTTCTCCTCTCTGCCCTGCTGTGACTGACATTAAACTGGAGTTTGTACCCAGTCTTATCAGCTATTTCACAGTCCTTGGATAAAGATAAATCATGCTTAATGGCTGCCGTCAGTGCTGGCATTCCACTGCACCACAGTTTGTTCTGAAAAGGAAAGGGGAAGGATTGACATGAGAGAGAGGCAGGAAGTGTGTAAGCCCTGCAGCACACCTTTAGACTCCTAGTCATGGCTAGGAGACAGGGCTGGGTGGGTAGATTGTGTCTGCACTAGGTTGCAGTTGCTAAATAACAGCATCAATAGAACTTTGTCAGTGTGTGTTGTGGATGGTGCTGGTGTGTTGTCTGGACCCCAGCCCTGGGCATCATGTATTCTCTTTTACTGGCTAGAGTACTAGAAATCAGCGTCAGACAGATCTTCACTTCATCCTTACTCTTCATCAGCCCACTGTCCTGTGCCTCACCATAAAGCATTTGCTTCATGGGAGCTGTAAAAGTGGGATGGTCAGCAAGCATCACTTCAGCCAACCCTGGCCCTTCATCAGCCTACTGTCCTGTGCCTCACCGTAAAGCATGTACTGTAAAAGTGGGATGATCAGCAAGCATCACTTCAGCCAACCCTGGCACCAAGCCCAGCCTGTATTATTTCGTAGCATTCTATCATGATGGGAGTCAGAGATTTTTTGTTGAAGTATAGCCTTGGCCACTTTGAACCAAAAGCGCTTCCCATTGTTCAGTTCTGTCATGCTCCTTTGCAGGCAGGGCTATGTTAGGGCTGCATTTCCTGATCTTTGTGTCTTTTGAACAAGGGCTGTAAGTTTTCAAACCACTTTCCAATGCTACTGGCAGGAGAAAATGAAAGCGAAGACTCTTGGGAATCCAGGTTGTGTGTCAGATGCTGGATATTGCATGGGATTGCAGATAACATAGGCCTGGTTCAGTTGCTGACATGTTATACTCCTGTCACAAGACTCTTCCACTTCTGCATGTGTGAGAGGGGAGGGGATTGTTGCTTCTTTAAAAGTGCCTGCGGCATCAACATTTTCCAAGCGGAAAATGAAGCTTGTGCTTTTAATATGAGTCTTGCCTTCAACCCCACTCCAGTCTCCTGATTTGAAGTGGTACAGCTTCATAAGGGGAATGGGCCACACCATTAGCAGAAATGAGGCCTGCCCTTTCAGCTCATCTTTCTTTTCCCTCTCCTACCTCCCCAGGTTTCCTTCCTTTGATGGCTCCAGCTACTTTGTACGCCTCTACACCGAACCGCTGCTGGTGAACCTGCCAACCCCAGACTTCAGCATGCCGTATAATGTCATCTGTCTGACCTGTACCGTGGTGGCTGTATGCTATGGCTCTTTTTATAACCTCCTCACCAGAACATTCCATGTGGAAGAACCCAGCCAGGGAGGACTAGCCAAGCGACTGGCTAATGTAATCCGTAAACTGAGAGGCGTCCCTCTTCTTTGAAGGCGGCCAAGACAGCCAGTTTTTGAGAACTCTGCAGCCAGGACTTGAGGCTGTGAGAGGACAGGCCAGGTCCTCCGTCCCCATAGCTTTCTAACGCCTGAACAGCCAACAGACCGTGTCATTTTCCTCATGGATGGAAAACTTTGGATCTCACGCACAAATGCAAAGCGAGTCAGGAAAGAAACTGGGCTAGTTTTGCTTATTTTTTTCCCTGGGAGAGGGGGGGATAACTTATGTTCTGTGGAAAGATTCTGTAAATAAACCTGACCCGTGTGTGAACTTTTGTCCCTCTGGCTTTGCTGCTCTCCAGACATTCCATTTCATCGGCTAAGCTGTTCTTGTTTCCCGGGCAACCACTGTCAATACATCGCTCATACCTTTTTAGCAGCCAAGTGGGTTAATGCCCTGGCACAGGAACTGCGTCTCAGTCGAGCCCATGGAGCCATTTTGCTGGGCTGGGGAGGAGACGGCTGGGTTGATGTTGCTAGGACACTATCAACCCTGCTCATAGAGAGAACCTTCTGCCCTGTGCTTGACAAACTCATGGGCCAGGCTTTAGGAAGACTCGGTGGGTGGGGTGCGACGCTGGCAATATGGTAGGATAGAATGCTTCAGTAAAGTCTTCTCTGCTAGTAAGACACATTATGGAAGAGGGAGGGGGTGGGCTGTATGGGGCTTGTTTGCTATGCTAACTTTCCTGTGTGAAAACAATAAAAATCTTAATTTTAAAAAAAGGACTGGGCGACAATCCAGGGCCACCAAATAAGTAACGATACAATTTCTTGCCGATAATTAATTGCTTAGTCTGTTCTGGGTATTAAATGCATTGCCTGCTGTGGTTCTAATGCTGGTCAACCCAAGAACCTTTTAGTAGGGATGGGCACGAATCCAAAGAAATCAGATCATTTTGGGGTTCAGGACAGCCCCCAAGCCAAGCCAAAAGGCCCTGAACCAAACTGGCAAGTTTGGATCCCCCTTTCTCCCGGCTGCCGTGAGCCATGGCCAGTAGAGGGGGGGTATGGCCCAGGAAGGGTTAAATGGCTGGCAGATTTAAATGGCTGGCAACCATACACTTGTCAGCTGTTAGGCTGAAATGGCTGCCAGCCATTTAAACCTAACAGGTCAGCTGTGGACCCACACCTCTCAGTTGTTAGGTTTAAATGGGCCCAAACAGCTGAATCAAACTTCTGGTAAATGTTTGGGGAAGGCGCCTTCCCCGAACATTGGTTCGGAGACTCTGAACTGACCCAGGTTCGTGCAAAATTTTTGCTCGTGACCCGGTTCGTGCCCATCTCCAGCCCATCTAAAAATACTTTCCATTTATCCATGCTAAAGGAAATTACCATTTATACCATTGTTAAATAAAAACAGGTGTTTTAGCAAAACAGCCCAGCTGACATTTTTGAAATAAAAGACGAGACCCATTCTGGAAGCTTGGAATCTATTCAATGTCTTATATATGATTTCGTCTAGTTTAGGGAATAAGGAATTTTCCATTCTTACAATCCTGCTACAGGCAATATTGATCTATTTCTCATCCTCTTTGAGTAGTAGGCAGTGCCCTTTTCTAACCACAAGGTGTTCCCAAAACACCACTACTAGTATGACCATTTCCTTCCTTTGTTTCCACAACAAAGACATCTTTATCACTTAGGAGACGTGCTACTGCTTTAAGTAGTATATTTTAAGACCTGTCTGTTAAATTATGTGCAAACATTACTTAAGATTGCATAGATGTCTTGTGAAGATGAGAACTCAGCAAAATCTAAGAAGCTTTCAAAATTAGAGATTATCCGCCATTCAATTGGGAATGCAGGTTCCTTAAATGTGGAAGATACTCAAGTTTATTACTCTGTTGTGCCACCTATCTGGAGCAAACTGCACCAACAAAGCCCCCAGTCCCTTGGGAACACTGAGGTGCCTGCCCCTCCCCCTGTACTTGGAGGGACTCTTCCCCGAGTCATGGAGCCATCCTACATGGCAGGCTTGCAGTTCGCTTCCCAGCAGAGCCCCTTGAGGCAACTGCATTCTCTTGACATGTTTCCCAGCGAGGCCATAGAGACCATAAATGTCCATTTTCCTCTCAATGTAATGGGCATGGACTGATGCCCCAGAGTTGAATCCTATGGAGGATCCCACAGAGACTGAATATACAGGACACTCACTACTAGCATATGAAGGTGATGGAGTTTGCCAGTACAGTGAATACTGCCCATTCTCTCCTTTCTCCTGCTTCACATAATGAGGAGCAGAAAGGCAAGCTTATTAGCCAACTGCCTAATGTTAATAGGCTTCAAAGAAGGGTCAGTTCCTGCTGTCAAGCTGGGATCTTTTTTAAACGTTCCTGTCCTCCCAAGTACATGTGACGTTCAGCTTTTTATTAAGCCAATTAAAGGGAGAATGTGTTGAAAGGGGACCAAGGAATAGTTTTCAAATACATTAGAAGCAGAAACCAGCCAGGGAGGCAGTGGGACCCTTGGATGACCAGGGGGTAAAAGGATTATTAAAGGATGATAGGGAAGTGGCAGAGAAGCTGAATTCATTTTTTGCCCCTGTCTTCACTATGGAAGATGGGAGGTGCTTGCCCACTCCAGAACCGCTGATCTCAAGAGGTGTGGTGAAAGAGGAGGTCCTACTATTGATGGACAAATCAGAAACTGATAAATTACCAGGCCCAGATGGCATCCATCCAAGTTTTCCAAAAGTACTCAAATGTGAACTTGTGGATCTCCTGACAAAAAATATGCAATGTATAACTAAAATCTGTCTCCATTCCCCAGGATTTGAAGGTAACTAATGTATCCCATCTTTTAAAAAATGGTTCCAGAGGAGATCCAGGAAATTACAGGCCGGTCAGTCTAACCTTGATACCGGGTAAGTTGGCAGAATCTGTTATAAAAGATAGAATTAGTAGGCACATTGATGAACAAAAGCTATTGAACAAGAATCAGCATGGATTCTGTAAAGGAAGATCTTGTCTCACTAACCTTTTAGAGTTTTTTGAGGGGGTGAACAACCATGTGGACAAGGGTCACCCAGTAGACCTAGACATCCAGAAAGCTTTTGATAAAGTTCCTCATCAAAGGCTCCTATGTATACTCAGTAGTCAGGGGATAAGAGGACAAGTTCTCTTGTGGATTAAAAACTGGTTAATGAATAGGAAACAGAGTGAGTACAAATGGGCAGTTTTTGCAATGGAAGATGGTAAGCAGTGGGGTACCATTGGGTTTGGTACTAGCTCTAGTGCTTCTTAACTTTTTCATTAATGATTTGGAGTTGGAAGTAGCAGTGAATTGGCTAGGTTTGTGGGTGACACTAAGTTGTTCAGGGCGGTGAGAACTAGGGAGGACTGTGAGGCACTCCAGAGGGATCTGTTGAGGCTGGGCGAGTGGGTGTCAGTGTGGCAAATGAGGCTCAACGTGGGCAAGTGCAAAGTAACACACATTGGAACCAAAAAATCCTAACTATAAATATATGTTGATGGGATCAGAACTGGAGGTAACTGGCCAGGAGAGAGATCTTGGAGTTGTGATAGATAACTCATTGAAGGTGTTAACTCAGTGTGTGACTGCAATAAAAAAGGCAAATGCTATGCTGGGGATTGTTTGGAACAGGAATGAAAACAAACCAGTCAGTATCATAATGCCCCTGCTGACGCGAGTCCTGGCCACCTGCTACCCGCCTACATCAGCCTTGTCCGGCCCCCAAGCAGTGCTTCACCCACCGCGTGGAAGCAGGAAGACCCAGCAAGGTCATGTGGCAGCCGCCCTTCTCCCTCCCCTCCTGCTTGATGGGGGCCACCCGTCTTGGTGCTTGGGGGGGGCAACAGTGGGAGGGCTTCTAGTGTCCTGGCCCCACTGCTGGACCTCCTGATGGCACCTGGTATTTTTGGCCACTGTGTGATAGAGTGTTGAACTGAATGGACAATTGGCCTGATCCAGTATTGGCTTCTCTTATGTTCTTAAGTCCCCCTCGTGACTCAGGCTGCCATCGGACCCCTCTGGAGCGAGGGGCTGCCACTGCTGTCATGGAGTCACAGCACAGATGGAGCGGCCGACGATGGTGGTGTTTTTTCCTGACCTGGTACAAAAGGCTTCTTTGTCAGGTTTGTTCTCTTACCTAACTCTGGTTGTGTAAAGGCGAGCCCTATTTGTCCTGTCTGCCTGCTAACCTGTTCACCAGATTTTCCCTCAGGCTCCAGGAGATCTCCAGGCTCCACCTGGAAGTTGGCAAGCCTAAGTGCTGCTGCCCCTTGTTGCCCCTTCAACGGTAAACTCTGGCTACGGGCCTGATAGGAGGTATCTGAGAGGAGAGTTTTTGAGGGAAAAGAGAGATTTGTAAGGAGAAAGGGAGACAGAAGTTGTCTGAGGAGGAGTGTCTTGTTCCGAGAACAGCATAGCTTGGTGAGTGTTGGCAGAGTAATTAACACAGCAAAAGTGCACAACCTGATTAAAAGAATAAATAAAAGTTTATTTAGGAATTAACATACTTTATATGAGAGAGGAAAGACAGAGACAGGTTCCTAACTATATCTCTAGATGAGAGAGATGGTAAGACTGAGTGTGGCACTTCTGAGAAGGAGAAAATTGCCCTGAGGGTAGCAACCTGGAGACAGACACAGAATGACATTTAAAAGGACAGAAGGAACTGCCCTCACTACCCTAATTGACTTCTTGCTGCCCCTTGCAGGGTCTTCTTGTCATCTTCTTTGTACACCAGCCACTGCCATTTTCAACAGTGAGGAGCCTAAAGCAGAGTTGCAGTTTCTTGAGATCTGTAGCAGAACCACAGAGAGCTGGTAGGAAAGGCTGAAAGAGACTTGCAGAAGGCCTCAAAGAGGCAAACTCCTCTGATCTTCCCGCTTTACATTGTGTTGCCTGTTTTGTTTTTTATAAATTGTGTCCTACTTTAATTACCCACTACTACTTGTTGAATAAAACTTGTTTGTATTTTGTACTTTTGCCTGGTACATGGTGATTATTGGGTCTGGGGAGTTGCTTCAAAATTGTGTTTTGCCTACTGGTAATTCCCCCTTGGTTTGGAGCAGTGGAAGCCAAATGGCCTGGAGACACTGCTGCTTTCTCTTTTCCCCCACACACATCCCCTTCCATTAACCAACCCAGATCCAATATAGTATCCAATATAGTATAAGGCTTACAATACTACACGCTTGAATAGTTAAATGATATAAAATTTAACTCAACCTAAATATGCTGCTAGCCTTATTTTGATGGTATGAGATTGTGTCCAAATAATATGCCACTTTC